AAAAATGGGGAAGGGTACTGGATGTTGTCTGTGTTTAAACTACAGTATTTAGGAAGAGGCAGTAGCTCTGTGGGAAAAGGGTTGATTTACATTGGGTTATTTCGGCCCTCCAGAGGTTGTTGGACTCCAGGTCCCATCAGCCTGATCCAGTACAGGCAATGGAAGAATGTTGGGGGTCGCAGTCCAGTGATACCTGGAGAACCCACTTCATCTGCCCCTGGTGGACATCCATTCATAACCTCCAAAGACTCCCAGTCTCTCAAACTTCAAGATCTTCTCAAGTGAAGACGCTGGCACTTGGTTAATGTAGAGCCATGAAAAAGAGTTAGTCAGTGCAGACAAATTCTGAAGTGATCTATCTCTCCAAGTACCTTTCCTGGGCACTCTTATCAGTGGTGTTCTTGGCCATCATCTGAATTTTGTCCACCCTCTTTGCCTCTAGTATTTTTTTCATTTCTTTAGTGTCACTGCAGAGAAAGAATACCATCAGACAGAGTTTATGAATTTCAGTAATAACATTTTAGTCAAGGTGCAATGTCTTGAAGAGTTTCAGTCATGAAAATACAACAGAGCAGACAAGTCATGACATGAAACTGTTTACAGGACCAAAAATGTTCCTTGCCTGAGGTGAATGATCCCAGTGGATAAAATAAAATACATATGTATTATTTGCCAGTTACATCATGCAAATCCCTTCGGACAATATTAGCCTATCACTTAATATTTTGAAATTTCTGTGAGTATTGATTGAACATACAGCTGTTGCCATCTTCGCTCAGACAGATAAAACATTGTCTGAGGACGTGGACTTGTCCATGAAAGCTCACAACATTTTTGTCTTCTTTATGTTTTATTTTTAATTTGTTTTTCACAGATAAAAGAGTTAAGCAAGATGCCACATTAGAATGTGAAGCATTCAGTTGAAAGACAAGGTGTGACTAAATGGACATTTAGACTGCCATTTGGTCCATTGTGGGGATGGGTTGGTTTGGAAGTGTATTTTAACACTATTTTTAACACTATAAAAGTGTATTTTTAACACTATTAGGAAGCACAGATTATATATAATATATATAAAAAAATCTGTGCTCCCTAATAGTGTATTATTTCTGCCCCTCCACAAAGCAGAGGAAGTGTTTCATTTGCAATATTCTTAAATGGCTGTCAATTAAGAAGAACAAAAATAGAATAAGACTGATTGTTAAAGTTGCAAACGTCTCCATGGATTAAAAGTGATACAGTTCCTAGATCAGTTGGCCTTGCTGCAAATGGTTTACAATTTCATTGCAAAGATGCACTCCAAAAATCCTTGGATCTTGCATGGATCTTACACTTTACTGAGTCAATCAATTCTGCACATTAAAACACATTCTTCTTTTGCCTTTTGCATACAGCAAACTGTACACATCAGTTGATCTCCCCCCTCCGCCCAAAATGCAAGAGGCGGTGCATGTCTGTGGAGCAGTTCTGGTCTGAACATTTTTAGAAGGTATTGACAAGCAAGAGGAGAAAGATGGGAGGAAGGCATGTGTAATACTGCACTTTAAAAAGTCAAGGAGAGAAGTAGACAAATTAATTATAATGATTCATAAAATATAGGTGCAAGAAACACTGGGCAATTAGGGTGTGCAAAGTTAGAAGATGAAATACTGTGAGAATGATATCAGTTATTTCATTCTTTACCTTTCTGAGGACTCCTTTAGTGCTTTCAGTTCAGATGCTTGCTTTTCTCTGGCAAGTTCTATTATTTTAGCAATTTGCTGTTGAACAAAATGAAAATGCAGGATACGTTAGGATTGAATTTAATGAGATATGTATAGCTGAACTTCATGTTGAAAGAAGGGGTGGTGGAGGAGGAATATGCTTTGATTGTATTCCTGCATTGAGTAGGGGGTTGGACTTGATGGCTATATATAGGCCCCTTCCAACTTCACCTTTCTATGATTCTATGAATTGTTTTCACCAATTTTTCCTGCCTTGCATGCCCCCCTCCCCATTGTTCTAAAGGGTTCCTAAACCCTCAGGAACCTATGGGCGGGGTCAAGGGGCTGCAGAAACACTATTTTGAAGTTGATAAGAATCTTGTTCATGACAAGCTTGAATCTAAACATATACTTAAAACCTGCTATCCAGGAACCTTGCAAGAGTTACTTTTTAGACAGTTTTACAGTTTTTACAGTTTTAAAGAAGAAAGGTTATCTACTTGTGACCATGGTTCTTCGAGTAGTCCTCTGTGAATCCACACAATTGGGTTGTTATGCACCTGTGCAGGAAGGACGTCTTGGAAGACTCTAGACATCGATCGTGACTGTCGGATAAGGGGTTTTATTTGCGCAGAGCACACACCACTTGAATGATGCTGGAGGGGCCAGGAAAGGGGGAAAAGGGGGGGGAGTAGGGAAAACCGGTAGAACAGTATGGACAAATAAAGAAATAACTCACGGGAGAATGTCAGAAACTAAAAAGGAGGAAGAAAGGCTATAAGTAGAAGTATGATGTACCAATTTCGAAATTTTTTTTTTTTCCGAAAAGCGGTCCGAGAGAGGGCTAACCCATGCAGCGGCTAAAAGGAACTGAGAGGACCTTGGGTGGGCGGAGCATCACTTCACGGGGGAATGTCCTACTAATCACATGTCTTTAAGCTCTAGAAACGTCTGAGACATCCTGCGCAGGCTCAGGACAACCGATTTTTGCATTCACAGAGGCCACAAAAAAAGAAGGGGGGGATTTTGGAAGATACAGTACAAGAAAGTAACTTTCTAGAATTCTGTGAAATGGGCCTCCCAAGGTGGCCTTGCCATTTGTACACCAAAAGACAACAACAGTTAATTACTGCAGTGTGTTGTTCTCACAGAGGAGGAGATATAGCAAGCTTTTTCTCCATAGGGTGAGTTATTCACACTGTGCTTATCAACTCAGTTATTTTTGTGCAAATTAAAAACTTGTGCAAATAGTGAAATTTACACAAATCGCATAGACTACAATTTTGAATGGGCTGTTCGTTTAAAAAAAGATGTGAACAGCCACTCATTCTATGCTTGCTCTCTCTGTGTGTATCTTTGCTTCATACAGAACTGCTTCAACATCATGATATGCACACTATAGAGAATGTGATGAGGGGTGCAGCTTGCCTTTTCCTGGCTTTGCTCAAGGCAAGGAATCTTAGCAGGCCTTGTCAAGGTGTGGCATCATATCAAGACAACATAAATAGATGAGAACAAGAAATCGAACAAATATTCTTCATCTCCCTACATTGGCTACATTTGACACTATGTCTATGATACATAGAATTTCTGACACCATGGTAGGTATGAGTGGGGCCTGTGACAAAGGTTTCCGCTAAGCTGGGTGTGCACGCACACATGACTCCGCTTCCCTCCATGCATCTCTCTTCCTTCTCTGTGCAGTGATCACGTTAGGTTCCAGTCACGACAAAACCAGTGTGTGTGTGTGGGGGGGGAAAGCCACATGTGCGTGAGAAGTGTGTGTGTGTGTGGGGGGGGGGAAAGCCACATGTGTGTGAGGCGGAGCCCCGCCCAGCGGGGCTGAAAATTAGCCTGTGACGTGTGTTCATACAAATCTACAAAATACTTTTATGGACAGCATGTGAGATGTCTAATCATTTGTTATCATATGTAAGTTTTTCTGTAAAAGTGCCACAATGTGGTCAGATTTAGATTTCCTTCCGTTCTGAACTACTTCTGCAAGTGCAGAAAAATGTGATGCAATATAAACGTGGTCACAAGGAGGAGCCATATTCAAGCATGACAGCCTTTCCCTTCAGAAATTATAATATCAGCTCTCATTGAATATTGAGTTTTGGACTTACTAAAGCTGTGAAAGTTGATAGTTTACAGGTTTAAAGTCAATGGACAAGTCTACAGATATATATTATCTAAAGCACTTCCAATTAATTAGACCAGGGTTTCAATAGTGAAGAAGATCCCATCACAACAATTCAGAATTATCTAGTTAACCATGGGCAAGCGCATGAAAGTTACTGTGCTGGTTAGTGTGCCTAGCTATAGTGTGCCTAGGGATTGCTGAATTAAAAGTCTACCTTCTAATTTATTTAGGAATGGTCTTCCAGCAGTTGGCAGCACTAAGGACACAGGAGGCAGCACCAAAGGCAGAACAGGCAGGATCAAAGCAAAGGGAGCAGAACCAAATGTAATTAATACCAATGTGGATATTTCCTCAGCAAGATTAAAGAGCTCAGTTCAGTTCTATGCATATTCCCTTAAGGTAAGACACAGAAATGAACTTTTCAAATAGAAGCCTTCCCTCCTTACAGAAGGTATCCTAAATGCCTCAATCTTTAAACACCTATATAATTTATTTTTAATATATAACGGGATTTTAAAAATGGTGTATTTAAACTTTACTTTCCTGAAATCCCCATTTATCTCTGTACTGGATAGTAAATAATGCACATTTAATACACATGTATACATTATTTTATGGATTTTATGCATCCAGATGGGTGGGAGCCATGAGCACAAACTTATACAAGCAGTTTATCAAGATGATAACAGAGAAGAGTTTGTTCCCCATGGTGTGTAGCACCTCCCCTTCCCCGGAGATGGGCAGCATGGCGATTGACTTCCCTGCCTCCTTGCTTGTCTCAGACTATGGTTTATTTATTAATTATTTTATTTAAAATATTTTTATCCCACCTTTCTCCTTAAAAGGGACCTGAGGCAGCTTACATCATGGAAAAGACAATATTTAAAAGCTCAAAACAATAACTAAACAAATATTTTTAAAAATCAACAATGTTATATTAAAACTGGTAAATAAAATCAATAGTAAAACTCATTTAAAACCACAAAACACAATAATCTATTTAAAAACCCGTTTAGACCACTGGTAACTAGGAAAAAGCCTGCCTGAAGAGAAAAGTCTTTGCCTTCTTGCGGAAGGACAGCAAAGATGGGGCCAGTCTTGCCTCCTGTGGGGAGGAGTTCCAGAGTCTAAGAGCAGCAACAGAGAAGGCCCAGGTCATGGTAGCCCTTTTCTGTGGGAGGAAGGGCTGGCCATGCTGTGACTCCAGGCCTCCAAGAGTTGTGTCCGGTTTGGCCTTGGGGGGGGTGGTTCTCCAGCATGTAAGAGCATCCGTATGTACCCCTTTGCTATATTTTATCATGCTGCTATCACTGTTGAGCATCTGCACAACAAATCATCTGGGCAACCAGTATCTTTCTGTTTTCCTCAGGACTTAAATTGGGGTCCTAGCTGTGCCAAGGAAACAATTAATACAGTCCCCAATCACTGTTTGGAAAGGAGCAGGGTTTTTCTGCATTATGCTGAAGAAAATTTGTCTTCCTTTAGCTGTGAACCAGATAATCTAAGATCTTATCTCCAATCAGTAGTAAAAAATAGCAGTGGGGATTTTCCACACAGAGGTGGGAGGAGAAAGACAAGACACATGGGAGGGAGACACTTGGCAGGCTAAAAGGGGAACCTCTGCAGCTTGGATCTGGCCAATGGAATGGGATATTCCTCATCTGAGCCATGAGGGCATGTGGAGCACTGTCTTAGTTCAGTCCCAGTTCAAATTTTTCATCTCATTTTCCATCTCCTGCCTTCTTACTAGGATTGGCAGCCTGTGTTTTCCTCCTTAATATTGATTTTTCCCCTCCTGCAAAACTCCCAGCCTTATCACAACGTGTGAGTGTGTAATGGGGAGAGGAAGGAGATGGAAAATGAAAAGAAAAATGTGAGTGAATAAGTCAGCCATCTAGATTTAAAACCAGGCACTGAGAAAAGCAGCATCAGAAGGCAAGGACATTTCTAATTTGGAGACAGACATGTTTTCCTTCTCCCTCACAGAGTTGTGGAATAAATGAATAAGACAGTGTCTGAATGAGCACCTTTCTGTCTCTCTGTGTGTAAGTGTGAATACTTGTTTGCCCACTTGCCTGTTGCTGGGATCTGCTTGCTACCATCCAACATTATCCATCCTACCAACCACAGTGAGTACCAGCTGCTACTGGTGACCCTCACATCTGCTACATTTGCCTGAACAAAGAGATACTGCTAAACTCTGTAAAAACTTTTCTTAACCTTTCCTGTGCCTCTTTGTCAGGTGCCTTCATCTGTTTCTAGAAGGACAAAAAATAAAAACAAGGTGATGACAATTCTTATCTCTGATTCTTGCACCTGTGGTACTGTATGCAAAAAATAAAAATCTCCATACCTATCTCTCCTGTCAGATACATGATCCACAGTTACAGAAAAGATGAATTTCAGTGTGAAAGAGGGGTGTCTGTTTCCCTTTGTTGATGCATAAGATGTGGAAGTGGGAGCTACTGGCAGTGGTGCAGCCAGTTTTGGCCAAACTTTTCCTTGTGGCCAAAGGAATCCATTAGTTTGTCAATCAATCCATTTTTATTTCACAACAAGACAACTGCTTTATCTCATAGGCACTCTGGTTTGTTTAAGACTGCATTCCATCGTGATGACATTTGGGTACATCTGACAGCTTCCCTCACAAGTTATTTGGAACATGGTTGTTTCGGGAACTTTTTGACTTTACCTTCTGAGAGTGGTGTGGCAGGAGGCTGCACAAGAGAGCAAGTGAGCGAGTGAGATTCTCACCTGGCATCGACTTGGGTGTGACTTTGGAGGTCAGCAAAAAGGCCTTTCATTTAAAGAATTAAATCTTTGTATATGTTTTAGTTTTAAACTGTCCTTCACCCTCTGCATTTTTATGCTGTATTATATTTCATTATAATTCTGATTTTTAAAAATTTCATGTGAGATGCCGCCTGGATAATTTTTTTTTATAAACTCTGTAAGCCATTTTTGAAAACAATAGCATGCACACAATCCGTACCTCAGAAACATGCTGCTCTTTCTTCCTCCGAATACCATCATATTGTTCTTCTCCAAGCTGGATGAGTTCTTCCTCCAGCTTCTCTTTCAACTCCAGGACTCTGTTGTCAGGACTCTCTGCCACCTCCCCAGAACTTCTACCTTCATCCATTGGGAATCTGCAACTTCAGACACAGAGGAAGAGTTCTCGCTGCCTATCAGGGAATTTCATGGGAAGTGTTGGTGGCGGCAACAATGGTCCCCTGCCACCTCTTTCCCCTGCCCGTTATAAATTTTTCTGGGAGCGGAGAACAACTCAAGAGCAGAGCAGAGGCATTTTCCCCCCTTTATTCCTTGTCTTCCTCTGCCTTTCCTTTCTTCCTTTTCTTGCCTTATTTGTACCCACTCTTCTTCTCCATGTAGCCTTTCATGGAACAAAGTTTTTAATGGGCAGAGAGAACACAGGGAAAATCAGCAGAGTTTGGGAAATCAGGCAGCTGACAGCAACTCCTAAATGTTACCTCACTCTGTATCCGTGCGTAAGAGAAAGCATGAGAAAGCACCTGTCTAATCTTGAGGGAGGGAAATGGGAAGACCTGAGGTGCAGGGCTGGCAGAGCAAAGAGTTGTCTTTGAGGGGGGAAAAGGATTTGAGGCACATATCCTCATGGATCCACATGGTTTTTATGTAGCATCATTCCCAAACCACTTTCAGTTTGCTTGGGGCAGATCCCATGTTAAAATCATGTGGATTCAGGAGTATCCATCCTTGGATCAGTGTTTTTGCACCACTGAAAAGCCAAGCATCCTTCACTTCTGTGGCATATTCTGTGGATACAAATGGGACTTACGATTTGACAGTGTTAGGGACAGATCCTATGCTAAAATCATGTGCATTCATGAGGATCAAATCAGTGTTTTTGCACCACTGAAAAGCCAGGCATCCTTCACTTCTGTGGTGTATTCTGTGGGTACAAATAGGACTTACGATTTGACAGTGTTGGGGACAGATCCTATGTTAAAATCATGTGGATTCATGAGGATCAGTGCTTGGATCCCTCTTTCCCTCCTGCCTCTCCTCACCACCGCAGCAGGGGCAAGTGGTCAGCATGAGGGCAGGGGAAGCAGGCACAGGACAAAGGCTCAAATGCAAAAGTTTTCCCATGGGGACACACACCCTGACACAAATAGCATGTGATTACCCCTTGATTCAGGCTGAGGCAAAGAGGCAGTCCCGAAAGCAGCAAAATCAGGGAGCTGGACAGGGGACAGACTGTATTTGTCTTCAGTGTGGAAGGGATTGTCACTCTCGAATTGGCCTCCTCAGCCACACTAGACGCTGTTCTGAGACCTCTATTCAGAGCACGTTACCATAGTCTCTTGAAACTGAAGGGTGCGTACTACCTACCCCTTGATTTCTAAATTGATTCTATTTAGAACAAAGCTTATTGCAAGGCAAATGTAAAATGTAAGCAAGCCCTATGTAAAATGTCAAGTTGTTTTGATTGCTAGTAGGGATTTCACTGTTGCACTCATGCCACACAAAACTGTAAAGATAACTGGCTTAAACACCAGCCACCGTAACGGCAGTTGGCATAAACACCACCAAAGCCATTGGCTTTGATTACTGTCAAGGCCATCACTTTGGTTCAGGTTGTGGCTTAGCATTCCTTACCTTTTCTTTCTGGAGGCTTTTGAAGGACAGGGCACTTTCTTTTTCCCAGGCTGAGCAACCAGTTCTGTGAAAAGGATGGCATATTTCTGCAACAGCTCTTCTCTGCGCTTGAGTCCCTTTCGCTCCAACTCCTTCAGTTCTTTCTCTTGCTTCTTCAACAGCTTCCCAAATGCCTTCATCTGCTGCAGCTCCTCAATGCTGACTGTCTGTGGCTCTGGAACATAGCAGGAAAAAAAAGAGGAAGAACGGAAACCCATCTCAACGAGGTGCTCGGCTTTCTTTCGTCATCCACTGAAGGGGCGATTTTGCACAATCCGTTTCGTCTCTCATAGTAGCTCTCCTGTTGCACAAATCTAGCTATCTGGCTTTTTTTCTCACTCTCAAGTCACAGTACTCAATACATAGAAAAAAGGAACCACTTGGCTACTAAAAAGTGTTCAGTGGGATGTGATTGTGCAAGCAATACAAATATCTGTGGACACTGTGAGGACCAAAGTAGTCCTAGCTTTTCAGCTACAAGATGATAACACGTCTTCTTCCAAACACAGAACTCTTTCAAAGTCCCATGACTGAGACTTGATTATGTCTCTTCTTACACAGGTGGAAGTAGTTCCCTGTTTGCACTTTGAATTCTGGGCACTATTCTTTATGAACAAAACAGGTATCTTCTTATCCTATTTTTGAATGTTTAATGTGGTGGTGAGGGATGGAGAAACCTCTATAGTCTAATGTAGTCCAGCAGTGGCCCTAGAGTTGACTAAAGAAGCCATTTTAAAAATTTGTTGTCCAGTAAACGCTACCTACTAACTTATTTTTTATAACACCCAATAATTTTGGGTTTTGTGATATAATTCTAGAGCTGGGCTAATTTGTGGAGTAAATTTCTGATTTGCTGGCCAGAGCACTAATAGTAGAAATGGACAAAAGAATGTGACTCTATTAGACAAAAGAAAATTCTCTGCTACGGGGCTGGCTTGACAAATTTTAGGTTCTTCTAATGAAGATGCCAGGCTGAGTCTTCTGAAGAGCTTCTCATCGGGAAGCAAAATATGCTTCCTCTCTCTCTCCTCTGCACCAAAGGACTCTAAGTTCTGAAACCCAAGAAATTCATGAAAAGGTCCACATACAAATAACTAATTTAGATTATCTTTGATGACTTTTATTTCAAATGTGGTGTATGTGTGATTGTTGCTTTTCTTTGCTCTTGATGTGTTTTTTCCCTTTTCCCGAAGATAACAGGACAATTGGTTCCATTTTTTTAAAAAATTTGGGTTTTGTGATATAATTCTAGAGCTGTTAAAAAGATGGGCTAATCTGTGGAGTCAATTTCTGATTTGCTGGCCAGAGCACTAATAGTAGAAATGGACAAAAGAATGTGACTCTGTTAGACAAAAGAAAATTCTCTGCTATTTTTCACTAAAGCTTTTCAATATGTGTCCCAATATGTTTTTACAAATTTTACATCGTTTTGTTGAGTTTTGCCTTCCCAGAGTTTGGACATCCAAGTACCTTTCCTGGCAACAAGGCCCAGATGCTCTTTCAGAAGCTGTGCAGACCAGGATTTCCCAATGAAGATCAGCCAGCAGTGGCAGCCTGTCATTAATTTTTTGTGTATGTGGAAAACCTTTAAAGAAAGATACCCCTTCTCTGTGATCTGTAACAGGTGGTATAAATGCCAGCCTATTAAGCTGGCTAGATAGATCAGTGGTTTATGTATCCGGCTGCAGAGCCAGAGGTTGGGAGGTCCATTCTCTACTGTGCCTCTGGGGAGAAGAGCCAGCCTGTGTGGCCTTGGGCAAGTTGAGCAGTCCCAGGTTGCCCCCAGGCGTCTTATTTCTCTTATTTAGCTGTATAACATGTTTCCTGCACTTGGCTTTCTGTTTCGTGCTCATAAGATCATCCTTAATAACAGAGATGAGTTGCACGCCTTTATAACTGCCACGTTCTTAAACCACCTAGAAGATCTGGACAAAAACGATCAGCGGAGCTTGATTGATACATTTCTCATCCAACAGCAAGAGGTAATGGAATTGTTTTACTAGGTATGGAACCAAGAGTGCTTTTTTTGTTAGAAAAACTACAATCACTTTTTTAAATTATTTCTTTATTTGTTTATTGGATTTTTACCCCACCCCTCTAGACCATGTCTACTCTTTTGTGGTCTGTATTTCAGAATACTGTGAGTAAGGCCAGAGACTGTTGTTAAGTCTGTATTGGGGGCAAATACGGACAAAATGAACTTGTTTCCACCACCAACTCATCTCACATTTCTAATGAGTTCAGTTCCTGCACTGAGCTGCAATATCAGTGTGGAAGTGATTTCCATTCACATTCAGATCAATAAAGTGACCAGGATTAGAAGTACCTGTATTTCTTTTCATTGGCTCTTGCTTAGTTTCTTCTTTCCCTGTAGTCAGTGTTCCTGAATAGGAAAAAAAAACATACAGCATATAACTGGTTTCTTTTCATTGGCTCTTGCTTAGTTTCTTCTTTCCCTGTAGTCAGTGTTCCTGAATAGGAAAAAAAACATATAACACAACATATAACTGTGCCTGTTCTGCTCATGGAACGTAAGAATAAATCATATTAACCATTCCCAGAATACTAGCTTAGTCCTAATGAACTCAGAAGTGCTTCTCCTGCATCCTGTCTTCTGGAACAGTGCCACCTCCCTTCAGAATCTGAGCATGTATTCCCATCCTTCTGTACTCCAGGCAACCCTCAACCATGTCTGACATATTACCTGCAGGCCCATTTGAAGGGGGAGTGCTGTAGGTTCCTGTGGTATTAGGCAGTCCATTAGTAGTGAGCGAAGCAGCTGGAAGACTTGGTTGCAAATCTGGTTGCTATACAACAAAGACCAAAGGTGTATCAAGGATGTATGAGGGAACTAACTAGTTACTTTTTCATGTTTTTAAGCTTCAGCAGCTACACAGAAGCAAGAGAAAATTCAAGGCAGAGCATTGTGCCCACAAGGGCATTTTAAACATCTGGTCTAGAAGGAAATCCTCACCATTCAGCCATCATAAATTCTTCACCAATAAAATCAAACTACCCTCAGTGTGCCCCCTCAAATAGCTCTTTTTATCGTGCAGCACTAAAATCTATTTCTCAGAGCTGAGATTGGATAATTTACTTTTCTGGAGTAGAAGTCCTGGAATCTCCCAGCCGACATGGCCAAATGGCCATTCTGGCTGCGGGATGCTGGGAGCTGTAGTTCAGAACGGTAGCTTTGCTGAGCTGTGGTACTGAACACTACACAGGCAGACATTTTCCTGTTATGGGAATAAGTTTTGCTCTCTTGCCAATGCGATCCCGACAGATAATATTAGCTGGCCCTGTGATAACGCAGTAGTTCCCAACCTTGGGTCCTCAGATGTTCTTGAACTGAAACACCCTGAAACTTTCTCCACTAGTTGTGCTGGCCAGGATTTCTAGGAACTGTAGTCCAAGAACAAAGCTGGGAACCAAATGTTCAATAGACCACCGAAAAGAAAAGAAAAAGCCAAGTGGCAATTAAACTATTATTTTGTTCCCTCATCGTTCCAGCTTTTTGTAACATTCAATCTATGCTTGCTCAAGCAGAATGGGAGGGAAAAATCTAACTCTGCCTGGCTGAATATTAAGCAAAACAGAACAAGCTGTAGATCAAATGAAAGAGAAAAAAAAATGACTCGGGTTGCTTTCATCTCATCGACAAATGTGTATCTCTCCTGGAATCCTTTGGCAGCCCTTGCTTTCCCCTAATCTGCAGATTATGAGTCAGTCTTGTAATGTATGTAACCCCACAAGTTCCTGTGATCAGGTGTCTTTACTCTGCACCTTTAATAAACAGGCAGCCCTGAAATCCCATTGGCAGTATCTACTAGAATGTGAGGCCAGTGAGAACACAGATAAGCAGCTATATGCCCACTCTCCCTTTATATGAGAGGCAGGAAGGCCTAAACTGGAGTCTAGATATGAGATTTCTTGGTTATAGGATTGGGACAGAAACTGACAATCTGGATGGAATTCCCCCATGGGAATCTGATCTGAACACTCTGGCAGATAGTGCCCCAGCATTGCACCACTTGATCAATTAATGTCAAATTGTTCCTTAATTTAAAACTCCTAACGCCTATGGACATATAAAGCAGCCTATAGATATGGTTACTGCAGAATTTATTTTATTTATTTACTTAATTTATATACCATTACCATTAGTTCAATGCGCTATCCTGGGTGGTTTACATTACAACATATTAAGAAACACAACAGCACTAAAATTAGAAATAAAGACAATCCAATGCAAAAACACTAGAGGCAGAGTCTCAAGAGAAAACGTAAAAGATGGCACAGGAGGCAAAATCAGGCAAGAGTACTATGAAAGGCTTCTCTAAAGAGTAACAGGTACTAATATGCCTCTATCTGCCCAACACCAGCTTGGGGGCAAAAAACCCATGTAATATTTGAGACAACAGGTGTTACTTTACTTATAGCCATTGTTATATATTCCTGTGTATAGTCATGTTGCTCTTATTAGGCAGAGGCATTTTAAATGGTTTTGAATTTTTTTTTATCATTTTGCCAGGCCTAAGCAGGGTTGTTAATGGCAGGACCTTTTAGAGGGCATTAATTCATAGGGCTAACATAAGTTGGGAACCAGTTGGTTGTACGTGATAATGTCTAAGTCTATTTATATAGATAAATAAATAAATATAGCACCGAGGACTATGATCCTTTCCCTCTTGAAAATGGGTGTGATAGTTCAGCCTGAAAGTAAGCCAAGAGTTTGTGAAAGCTGCCATGTTCAAGAGACATTTTAGTTAATTACACCCTCTTTTGTTACTGCTGTTCCTTGTAGTCCTTTTGCCCAGCTCTGTAACACTCAAGTGTTACAGGCAGAAATTTGCAACCTAATTTAGAGGTTTTCTTATGCACTGAAGCTTAGCAAGAAACCCTATTATTATGATACTAGAACTAGAGGAAACTTTTGTTCCTCTAAGGAAAGAAAATCCTTAAAAGAATTGATTGACACCCACCCTCCCCTGCTGTAGCCCAGCGCTTCTTGCCAATGAAGCAGAGCGACCACAGACAATACCCACTTCCTTCCTAGCCACCATTTTGGCCTAGCCATGCAGAATGTTCGTTTAACCACACTTGTTTGTATGTTTTATGATTGATACTCCCAACCACTTTGAATTCTGCAAGCGAAAATTGGCTGCAAATATTTTAGGTAAGTAAATAAATAAATAAATAAATACTATTTGTAGGACTCACCTCTGCATTAGCCTCTTGGTTCTTCAATAATTTTTTGTCATGTGCATTGAAAAACTTTATTGGATTGGAGAGGGCCATGGTAAGATCTAGAAAAATAACCCCAAGATTTTCAACAAAACATTTCATTTCCCTCTTCTTATTCCTAGCTCCTCTGGTTATTATTGCTATAATGAAACTCACATAGCCTGTATTTTAGTTTTTCTCAGTTCTATATATTTCCTGTGTAAGGGTCCAGATACACTAGTATCTTTTTGTCAGCACAGGGTGCATTAAATAACAAAGAGGCAGCAGTCTTTCAACTCAAATCACATTTGCTGTCATGGAACTTTAGAATTTTTGTGGTCAGAGAAATATGAAGCGCATGTAGCTGTAAAGCTACATTGCAAATGTGTAGAATTCATGCAAGCAACAACATCTGATTTTTTTTTTCTTTTCTTTTTTTAAATGCAGAATTGAATTTAAGTTTTTTTAAAGCCCAGAGCTGAGAGCACTGATTATATTTTTATGCTGGTGAAAACATGCACAACCTCTTCCAGCATCTGCATTTAAGGTGTGCAGATATCCAGCAGAGCTTGGAATATTACTTTTAAAAAGGAACTCTTTTTCTGACTCTACTTCAGATCAGTAATAGATTTCTATTGTAGCTACCCTCCTGCCTTCAAAAGTAGCTTGTTCTACTGCTTCTTACCGATGTGTTGCCATTAGCATTGCTTATTCAGCCACTGGAAAAGACATGAAAATGCTTGTTGGTTCTCTCAAGTGGCAAATCCTGTTTACTGCACATACTGTGAAAATGTGACAAACACATTGCAAAACAAAGGTTCCCTTGGCACTTCCTTCTCAGAAGCCTTGAACTACAATTCCCTTGTGCACTCTCACAGTCCAGTTAAAGATGGGGTGGGATTTGTAGCACAGTACCTCAAGCAAATGTCAGGTTGGCTGGAAGTCTATATAGAGACATTTGTTATGAGTACTAATTAAGTGAACAAATTAAACTGTCATAACAAAATGCCCTTCAACAGAAAACCATGAATTTGGCAGTTTCCTTAGTATATCCAGTGCACTGCTTGAGTGTCAGATTTTCTGGAGGAATTTTAGCAGGCCTTCCTATATGAAGCTTCCATGTTCAAAGGCAGTATACCTTGAATAAAACCAGATACTTTGACCAACCAATGTGGAGTGTCTTGATTATATATCCTTCTAATGAGCTACTAAGCCATTGCTAGCCTGTTATAACTCTAGACATTGATATGAAATGTATTTTTCTGGGCTTTGCAGATTTCACGTATCCCAAAGATGGCATTCCCATTTTGGCCTTTTGTGTGAGAAACCAAATCCAGACTTAATAAGTGGCACTGGCTCTTTGGCAATTCATTTCAACTAGGTCTACGTGCATTAGCAATCCAGTAAGCTGCCTGCCTAAACCACAGATACTAAGGATTCTCCCTCACTCCCTGTCTCTCTCTCTCTACTCAGCCCTGCTGCACTTGCCCAAGAAGGATTAAGAGCAAATGGTTGGGGAGATGGAGAATGAGGAGTGGGACAAGGAAGAGCACCTGTTTCAGGAGAGAATCTGCAGTCTGAAGGCCTAAAGTAGCACTTAATCCAGCTCAAAGCAGTGCATCTGTGTTTGCATTTTCTGGCTATCTCCCCCCCCCTGCTTTTATGTCTCCCCATTTCCCATCATTGCACAAAGCCTCTTCTAGAAATAAAGGCAGTGAGAAGCAAAAGTACACAGTGAGCCCCCATGTGAGCCTTTGTCTGCTCAGGTAAGCAACAGTAACAGGCAGGTAAAAAGGTAAAGGTGAAGGTTCCCCTTGACGTTTAGTCCTGTGGTGTCCGACTCTAGGGGCGGTGCTCATTCCCATTTCCAAGCCATAGAACCTGCATTTGTCCGAAGACAGTTTCCATGGTCACGTGGCCAGCGCGACTAGACACGGATCGCTGTTACCTTCCCACTGTAGTGGTATCTATTTATCTACTCACATTTTTACATGCTTTCAAACTGCTAGGTTGGCAAGAGCTGGGACAAGCGACGGGAGCTCACTCCGTCGTGTAGATTCGGTCTTATGACTGCTGGTCTTCCAACCTTGCAGCACAGAGGCTTCTAGTTATTTGTCCCTGTTTCTATGAAAAGTAGTAAATGGCAGCCGTGGCTGTTACGGGAGTGGGGTGGGGGATGACTTTGTTCCAGAATGTAACCCACTTAACAACAATCTATTTCCTAGCTCTGATATGATATATGTGTGTCAATGAACCTTTTAACAGGCCCTATAAGAAGCCAGGAATGGAGCATGTGGAGGCCCTCTAGATGTGATTCAGCTACAACTCCCAGGCAGTGTAACCAATATTGAAGGATGATGGGAGTTATAGTCCAACAGTCTTAGAAGGGCCACACGTTTCCTTCAACAAGCAGTTACAGATATAAATGGGGTTAGTTTTAGTCTTTAGCTGCCCTTTGTCCATACTACCCAATAGTTGTTTGGTACAATTGCTAATTATCTGAAAGTGACATGCGCACACAGCTATGACTGATGCAAGTACTGTATGTATGTCAAATTAGATGGGTGCTACAAAATGAATTATCACTGACATGCCTCAAGCAGCTCTTGAGAATAACTTTAACAAAAAATACCGTTAGTATATTAAATGACAGCTATCCATCATTGTCACATCTGACTCATAAAGCTTCATGCAGTGTTTGGTTTAAATCATTTCACATTTATGCTTCAGTGGATTATCCTTACTTCACCTAGAATGAGATGCCCACCCTTAAACCCTCCTGCAACAGAAGCATAGATGCATTCATCTTTCAGGCCTACCTGCCCATGAATCAGGAACGTAGTCTTTCATCTCCACATAGACAAAGAGCGAGGGCATCGTAAGTGGCATGTTGCTCTCGCTACGAAGGCAAACGTGGTGATAACCTAAAATAGAAAGTATGTGTGTCCCAGTAGAAAAATGTATTGCAAACAGGTGGCAGATATAACCATACCGCGGAACTGTTTTGGAAAATGGTGAAGTTGATCTAAAACAGCCCTAGCATGACACAAGGTGTAGCAACAGTCACTGCTTAGTAATAACCAAGACCTAAGTGGAAATGTCCGTTGCCATTTGTGCTATTGGCTGTTAACCCAGTTGCATACTTCTCCCATGGTTCATTCTTTGAGACCAAATATGTTTAATGGGTCCTAATATGCAGCATGGTGCATTAATCCATGCTGTCATCATGCTGTACCCACTGCCAGTCTGTACTGCATATGCAGAGAAGTGTCGGTGTCGACACAGAATGTACCGTCTACTTGCACCAAAAGAATAACACAGGTGGAGGTTCTTTAGTATCCCATTCTCACCTATTTTGTAAAACTATCAATTTTATGTAAAAGCAGTGTGGGAAATCAACTTTGATGAGACGTCCCTAAGCGTTTGGACACTGAAAAATGCCAGTGAGTTGGAAGTTATAATGCTTGGGTTTTATTATTATTTAACTCTGCAGTTAAATAATTATGTAAAATCACTAGTCAAGCGAATCATCAGTGTTCATTTGTGTGCTGCCTTTCTGTGGAAAAACCATGCTCAAAGTGACTTGCAGCAACGTATAAAAGATGCATAATAAATAGCAATAATGCTTTCAGAGAACTCAGTAGTTACAATTTGAAATAAATAATTATACAATGGATTAAATAATTCTACACCAAGTCCAGGACATTTACATATAATTTACACAAATGATTTAGTGTACAAAGTCAATCAGTCACTTTTCAGTAGCTACAAATAAGGTTGATTCTCACCAGTGCATACAGCTGTGATGGGAATTACACGGTGACCAATGAATTTTCCTCCTTCTTCTAAAGCTACAATTCTGAGCGAAGCCAATTCTGGCATCAAAATCTGCCACGAAAAATCAGATGATAGAAAATTCAGAGGTCTTAGCTTGAATTACTACATAAATAAATAAACCTCACACACTTCTATTACATATCTATTAGAATATGAACAAAAACAAAGAAAAGACTTGTGTCAGTGTTTGAAATTTTGTTTGTATAGTCAAAATAATTAAGGAGGGGTGTAGAAAAAGTAGCCCTGAGAATGAAAGTGGTTTTAAAATTGAAGATTGAGCAATAGTTTGCTATAATAATTCCAAAACTGTTAGTCAGCTCTCTAGCAAGCAAGGTCACTGAAAATTAACATCCTCACAGCTGAATGTGTTTCTGCTACTATATAATGTTTTATATTATAGAATCATAGAGATGTGAAGTTGGAAGGGGCCTACTAGGCCTCGAAGTCCAATCTCCTGCTCAATGCAGGAATGCACTATAGCATAATAGAAAAGGAACATGTTTATATTACAGTGGGTAAACATGAACCAGCATTTGTAAGTCCTATAATGCACCCTTTCAGTGATTGTAGTTTTTAAAGTTCACAATTGTCTAGTGTTTCAGGATTTTAGGGTGACCAGATCCCAACACATCAAATGCTTAATAATATAGAACATTGTATTCTCGACGGCTTTCATGGCCGGGATCTGATGGTTGTTGTGGGTTTTTCGGGCTCTTTGGCTGTGTTCTGAAGGTTGTTCTTCCTAACGTTTCACCAGTCTCTGTGGCTGGCATCTTCAGAGGACAAATGCTCTATTTAATTTTATTTATTTACAGTATTTAAAATACTTCTATCCGAGATTTCTTGCCAAAAGGGACCCAAGGCAGTTCTAAGCTCTGTGAAAACTAGTCATAACAATAACAGTACTAGCATAAGGGTAGCTTGCCAAATATTAAGTTACAGACTTCTGAAATTACAAAGGCTGCAGGAACAATTAATTAATGGTGCTAACTATATGGAAATTTACATACAGTTGCTTCTGTCATTATTTGGCAGGCCCACCATCATTTTAAAATGATCAGAACATCAAGAGAGTTCTGTGGTATCAGAACAAATAGCCATGGAGAACAAAGATCTACCTGCTACCAGTAGATAAATGTTTAATTGTTTTTAATATAGTTTCTAGAGCATTTTTAAATGATCATCATACAGTTTTAATTGTTGTGAGCTATTTCAGGTTTCCAATGAGGAGAAAGATGCCATATATTCTCTCTCTCTTACTACTGGAGTTGAGACATTGTTGGAGTTTTGGATATCAGGAGCAGCTGAACTGGGAAAATAACTGTCTACCATGGATGTAAAGGTAAAGGGAGATGTACCTGCTACCAGTAGATAAATGTTTAATTGTTTTTAATATAGTTTCTAGAGCATTTTTAAATGATCATCATACAGTTTTAATTGTTGTGAGCTATTTCAGGTTTCCAATGAGGAGAAAGATGCCATATATTCTCTCTCTCTTACTACTGGAGTTGAGACATCGCTGGAGTTTTGGATATCAGGAGCAGCTGAACTGGGAAAATAACTGTCTAGCATGGATGTATTAATTTTTTATTTTTATTTATTTATTGTATTTATACCCTGCCTATCTAGTCATTTCAACCACTCTAGGCGGCTATGTACCTTTAGCCTGCCTGAACTGCCAAGTGCCTTTGCTTTTACACACTCCAGAAATTAATTGCTAAGATCTCATGCCAATCAGTTAGCTGAGGAATGGTTACTTGGAGGAAGAACATCTGCTCTGTGTGTAGGTCATTGGTTCAATTCCCAGCATTTCCAGATAGGGCTGGGAAATGCTTCAGCCTGAAAGCACAGAGAGCTGATTCTGGTTGTTGGAAATAACCAACAAAATGTCTAATGATATACAGCATTTTCCTGTAATCCTAATTTTGGGAAGGATGTTTCTCCACAATACTAGCTAAACACTGGACCTGTAAATACTATGTAAATACTTTCAAATTCTTATATAGAACAATGAAGCTACGACTAGTCCCACTGTTAGTCCTACCTAAAGCAGACTTGACTAGAATGAATGCAGGTGAATGGATGCAGCCCACTTTCACTATTTAGTGCTGATTTATCCAAAGTCTATATAGGTATTATGATCTTCAGTCTCCAATAGATGCGGAACAAAATGAAGAAATTAGTACTGCTGTTAACGTTAATAAGATTTGATTTGTGTGAAGCACTGAAAATTGATTGCTTCATTCCTTTGCACAAGCTGTTTGCCTTTTACTGGCAATTATAAGCAAGAACATGTGATTTTTTTTACTTTCAGCCTCTGAGCAAAGATGGTAAACGATCGGAATCTTTGTTAAAAAGCAATTATAAGCAAGAACATGTGATTTTTTTGAATTTCAGCCTCTGAGCAAAGATGGTAAACAATCGGAATCTTTGTTAAAAAGTTCAGCTGCAGCTGCTAGAACATTTTGACAAGGAGTTATCCTTTAGGCACATTGGCAGAGAAAGCATACAATGTTCCTTACTAGCCCCAATAGAACAAATAGAAATACTGTATGGTTCTTCTGCTCATTGTGGTAGGATAATCATTTTGCATATGTTTTGGAAATTATCCTAGTAAGCTCTTCTTTGATGACCCGTCAAAAATAAATATGCATGTTTCTAGTATTGATGCCACTTGGATGCTTAGTACCTGGGCAATAGGCTGAAGATGTTTGGGAGTACTAAAATGTTTAATTTTTAGGTACAGAACAGCAATTGGTTTTTTACTTTCAGCCTCTGAGCAAAGATGGTAAACAATCGGAATCTTTGTTAAAAAGTTCAGCTGCAGCTGCTAGAACATTTTGACAAGGAGTTATCCTTTAGGCACATTGGCAGAGAAAGCATACAATGTTCCTTACTAGCCCCAATAGAACAAATAGAAATACTGTATGGTTCTTCTGCTCATTGTGGTAGGATAATCATTTTGCATATGTTTTGGAAATTATCCTAGTAAGCTCTTCTTTGATGACCCGTCAAAAATAAATATGCATGTTTCTAGTATTGATGCCACTTGGATGCTTAGTACCTGGGCAATAGGCTGAAGATGTTTGGGAGTACTAAAATGTTTAATTTTTAGGTACAGAACAACAGCAATTGGTTAAAAAAATAATATAAATACACACAAAACAAATATTATGGATGGTACTGATTATAAAATTGTATGCAAGTAGCTAAATTAGACAAAGAATGGTATAGGAGAGAAAGAGAAAAAACAACGTGGACAACAAAGTATTTATGCTGAGTGGTTTAATTCTTTTGGGCAGAACTTTGCTTTCATATCTTTGCTGTTTGTCGGTGTTACAACTACTTAAGGCTATTAATTTTATTCTTTGTATCTTAGAATGACTAAAATGCCTTTTTCTCACTTATTTATTTTTGGCAATCACAAATTTTTATATTTTTGGAGTGATTGTTTTCTTGTATATGAAATATAGTACATAAAAACAATCAGCTTGGCAGATTTGACATTCTATTCAGAAATGGAAGGATAAAAGCAAACATCTTTGTAATATATAATGTAGGTCTTGCTCAGACGGGGGTTAAATAATTTAGAAAACGATATCCAGATGAATTTTAATTTTAAAGTGCACCTACGTGGAGAGGAATGTCTGGTGTGGGGAGGCTGTATAGCCTTTTCTTAACCCTTAAAGTTTGTCTTTCAACAGGCTGTGTGTGAAAGCAGCAGATGAGTGTTAGAACCTCTAATCTGACACTACTGAGGTCCACTGATTTCCGTGGGTCTGCTTTAAGGGGACTAACTTTGGATTTAGCCCTCATAATGCAGTTAAACAGTATATGCCTATAAACCATGTGATTTACAAGGTGGGTGTGCTGGAAAAACGTAAAATACAGCATCTTGAGATTAATCAAAATAAAAACAATGAACTTCATTTCCAGATATTAATGTTTTAAAAATCATGCTTGGATTAATTAGTAAGTGATTTTTAGATAAACATCACCCTCTGAACTTCCATTCCCCTCTTCAAATTAAATGGTTAGTAGGAACAAGGAAAGGAGTAGAGGGTTGTAAAACAATCAGTGTGCTAAATGTGCCTTAGAAACTGACAAAAAAGGCTTATGGTTCCTTGAAGACTCCTGCTTTATCACACACACACACACACACACACAAACACACACAAACACACACACACACACACACACACACAATCAAACTTTCCCGTGTACAAAGAGGAATATGTTACTGGTGATTTGCAGAGGAAATTAATCTCAGTTGCTAGCTGCATGGAATGAATAGAGGTATTACTGTTGGGAGAGACATACAGTACTTTAGGTTAAGTGCTAGTACCTTTTCAAATACAAAAGCATCCTCCTTCCATACAGGGTTGATTGAGTTGGCATTTGGAGTCAGCTTGGTTCTGTACCTGCGTTTGGGATCACCTGGCAGCCCAAATAACTCCACTTCTACATAGGACCTCACACTACGTTCTGAGAGGAACTGGCCAGAAATGATCTATGAATAAAGGAAGCAAGGTCAGTACAACATGTAATTGATAGTTTCACCTAATTTATTTAGCTTCCAGTTCTTTTTCGGCCAATGGACAAAATTCTGTTGTGTTTGTTACACTTATGGGAGGGTAATGTCACTGGAATAGGGAGATTTTCCATAATTAAAGGCTTCTTCCATCCTTCCTGGACCTCCCAGAGTTTGCATACAAGGTATGAGATCTGGGATGGTATGAGGTTTCCTGCCTTGGGCAGGGGTTTGGACCAGAAAACCTCCAAGGTCCCTTCCAACCCTTTAACGATTCTATGATGTCAGATGAGGAGCAGAACAGAAGTAGGAAGTCTCTAATTACCCAAAATCTATCCCTCACCCTGTGAGAGCCCTTCCACAGGCATAATCTCTGCAACAGGATTTTGGCCAATATGTTTTCTTCCTTCAGATGCGTTCCTTATTATTTAATGCATGCTTGTTATATACCCCTTGCTTCTTTTTGGCAGTTCTGGGAATATGTAGTCCTCCAGATGTTGTGAGATGTGGAATGATACTGGAACACTGATCATCTCTCTCCATTGGCAATACTGGCTAGGAATTAAGTGAGCTGCAGACAACATCTAATTGCCCACGTGTTTCCATCCTGCTTTATAGATCACTAAGGTTCTTTGTCTGCTGAAAGCTTTTTATCAATATGCCAGACAGTTAAGTGCAATGAGGTGTCACTATTACTGGGCAAGGGTGGCTCATGACTAAGGCAGAGAGGCACTCGCTCTTTGGATCCATGAAGCCCCCTTCATGGGGATGGAGAAAACGATGCCTTTTGCGATCACTTTTGCCCACTCTAGCAAGCACCCTCCCTTTTGAGGGGCATAATGATAAAAAAGGACACAAAATAGTTTGTATGTTCATATTGAGTTTAATGTGACCAAGAAACTACTGCCTTCACTCTGAATTGGCTTCAAATAGTTACATAATCATATAGCCAAATCAGACTGCCAATGTGGTAATGTTACTACTATCTAGAAAGAAGGCAGGCAAGCAGGCAGGCAGACGGGCGGGCAGGCAGGCAGGCAGATGATGGGGGTCTGAAGCAATCATTAATTGTGGTGATAAGAAGGAATTGAGAAAAGAGTGAGGTACAGTGGACAGTTTTAATTTACATGTAAGGTAAGCACCGTATTTGTACTAAAAATGAACATATAAACATTTTATTCCGTTTTTACACTGCGCAGCTTTCAAATGTGTGTTTCCCATCTGTAAATAAAGTGATAAAGTTTTCTTTCTTTCTTTTTTTTTGGCTGAAGACACAATGACTCAGTGAAGCAGATGTTAATTTCCCGTTTTCGTGTGATTCACTCACCACATTTAATCACTGAAAGAACTCGAATTTCCGCTAATACCACCCTGTAGCAGGGCACTATGAATTCATTTTGTTACAAAGATCCCTACCAAGAGCTTCAGTAAAAATGCACTTGCAGGGGTGTGTGTGCGTTCATAGTGTTACATCCTTGTGAAAGAGCTGCAAGTATGGAAAGCACTGGATGACCCTTACTTACTGTAATTGAGAGTGTGCTTGCCACAACCACATCAATGCGATCTACAGAGAAAGGATCAAATTGTTTATCTGGGCGACGCATGAAGGCATGTTTGAGGAGATAGCCACTCTGCCCATTGAATTCAAAGAGGGCCATGTTCTGCTGCATGGGGACATCTGTGAGGGAACAGCCCAACAAAGGGAGGAGAGTCTGTTACCAAGAATATATACGTAAATAACAGACGCAAGTGTAATCTAAGTCCTCACTGCACTCTAGCAAGAGATATCTGTGTCTTAGCACCTGTGTATGCGTGCATATGAAAGAATTTTTTGGGGGGGAGTCCCATTAAGGCAAAGCAGCCATCTTTCCCCCTGTTCCTAGGCTGAGTGATTTGGTTCTCTCTATGATCCTTCTATCTGAACTTCTATTGCCAAAGGTACAAAGCACTTGGTGGGGGATCCCAATGTGGTGTGGGTGTGCACAGATATGTTCATTTCAAAGCTCCCTTAGTGGGAGATTTGAAATCATGCCCCAATTGCTTATGTCACTGAAAACACCACTTACAGACACATGCCCCCCCCCCAATTTACAGGAATGTCCATGGGGGAAAAGCCCCATTGAATCCTTCCAGTTTGAAAAAGTAGAAGTCTGCTAGAGGCAAAAAGAGCTGGAAAGAGTCCAATCAGCCTTTGCATCATGCAGACAGTAAAAATACTTTGAATTCCCGCATTTTATAAGTGAAGCAAGTCTTGTTATATTGAACCATGTCGTTGGTCCCTTAGAGTCAAACTAGATATTATGTATAACTTCTGTGGTTTTCCTACCCATAGGGGGGATCACTTAAGACATAAATATTTAACAATCAGACTTGTTAATTAAACCCAGTGCTAACCTTCTGATGGCCAATCACAAAACAAAGCATGCTGAATGCAAGATATGTAGGTGATGACAATAATATATCACTCAGTATGACACCGAAATTCCTATTACAGCACTCCCAATGTTAGTACCAGAATGACATTGCTATGAGTCCCCCAGCTAACCATCTGGGCTCTGAGATAAAACAGGTAGGTAGTCCTCTGTGTCTCTGGGACAGCAGATTTTGCAATCCTGCATATAACCTTCTGGATAATACACAGAACAGAACTAAAGAAAGAGTCGCATTAACAGTAATATGTTTCGATAACTCCCATTTTGGGGTGGGACAGGAAAATATTTACTACAGAAAAAAAATAAATACAAAATAAAATTATTAAAGGAAACAAACGATTAAAGGCTGCAAAAGAAGAAAGGTCAGGAGGAAGAAAAGTGCAGCCAGATAGGAACGCAGCAAAATGTATACAAAGTGTACAAGAGTCAGAACATTAATGAAAATTTTGAGCACAAACCCATAATTTAAAAGACAGTGCATAGCGTATAACTTACCTGTTGTCTGGAAATTTAACGCCACCATTTGGCAGCCAACATTCCAAAACATCTGAGGCATGTAGTTGGAAGAGTCCATCCTGGTGCCCTTGGGATAAATTCGGCTCATTTGTCTCTTGTTGTAGCTGAGTTTTCTTAATAAGGAAACCAAAGATTATTCGTGTATGTGTGACTGGGGAGCACTCGGGATCAGTTTTGCAGGAAAGCAATAACTGCATTTCATCTAATGAGAGCAACGGCTACAGGTAACAGAAGAAATGCTCTTCCTTAATATGCTACCTGCATTTAATTCAGTCTGTAGCAAATGAAGGAATTATGTGTTCAATACAGAACAACTAAGAGCATCTGGGGACGCTCCACATGCTGCAGGTATCTGTATGGAAGTCACTTCTTTGGGGGACATGACATGAAGATCACCATCACACACGTTATGTATTTAGTTTGCTGCAAAGATCAGAAAGGTTATCTTTTTGGGACTGCAAATCCCAGAATCCGACAACCCAGCACGGCTACCAGCTATGCTAGCTATGGAATTCTGGGAGTTGTAGTCCAAAAACACAATGGTCAAAATCCTATTAAACATTTCTCTGCATGCAAGAGAAATTGTGGAACTTGCCATGACAAGGGGTTGGGCACGTACCAACTGCATGCTAGGTGTGCAACCAGAGCATGTGATCAGGCGTGCAGCTGACATGTGATCAGAACCTCATCAGTTAGCCACAGCAATTCCTGCAATTCCTCTTGCATACATTTAAATATCCAGTAGGATCTCTGGCCAGTATTTTGTGATTCTGTGCATGTGACTTCAAAACATGTATATACCTCTTATCCAGATTCCTGCCTGTCTTAAAGTTCTTTATTCATCAGGTCCCCAGCCCTATTATAAAGTGCAGTCCAGGCCTCAATGCACCCCAAAGAGACAGTGTGTACTCCACACTTTAAAGGTCTACAGAGAAAGAGGCCCATATAACACAAAATAGGCATATCCAAGGGCAAGGAAGATGTGATTCCTGTAAATAATAATAATAAAAGCTGTCCCAAATACATGCAAATCGCGAAGTCTGATCCCTTCCACAAAGTCTTTCCACTTCTTTGTTTTAAATGGGGCAAAAATCCCCACTAAAAAATTTAGATGCAATAATAAACCAGAATTGTTATTTCACATACTTTTGTTGTTTCTTTGCCCTTATCATCAGCAGACAGACGTATTTTGACAACAGAATAAACAAGGAAAGGAAGGCCCAATTATTTTGTGCAGGAACAATTGCGCAGCATGGATTAGTCCCCATCTTATCTCTCCAGCTATCATTGCAGCTGAACATTGTCCCATCTCTTGCTGTCAGGCTTCAGAATTCTCAAGAATGTTGTAATGGGATATTGGCAAAAGCTGCAGTATTTCAAGGAAGGAAAAGACAAATATCCATAGCAGCGAGTCTAAGGCTCAAATGATGCCTTAGGAGTCTTTCCTATACTGAAAGCTGTTTTCTGGTCTCAGGAGAGAAAGGAATGAGAAAAATACAGGACTCTAAATATATTTTTTTCCTAATGGAGAGAAAAAAACAATTTAGGGAGAATGTCTCTGAGCTACAGAAAGACTGAAAGGGACAATGCTAAAGAGTCTTCTGTTGATCCACTGATCTTACTTTGAGTGAAACGAAAAGTGAGGGAAAAAGATGTGAGCTCCACAGACTGCATTACTGAGCTTGAGCGATAGAAATAAAGATTAGTGGCATCCCAATACAGTATCAAGATGTGTGTCTTGATTCAGCAGATTACAGCACTATACAGAGAACCAAGGCCATTGATCTGCATCAAAGTATGAAACTGGAGTTTAAGTAATTTTGTTAATGATGCTTGTTTTGCTTAAAAAGAAAAAAAAGGAAAAGCTTTTGCTGGGACAGATGCTTGTCTAATCCTAACATTGCCAAATAAAGAGAACTTTCATTTACCTGGGCCATTGCTGAACTGTTTCTCAGTATTTTCCTAAATATTTTCAGCACACTGCTATGCAGTGACATTTTCTACCACAATTCTCATAATGCCTCAGCCAGCAAGGTCATTAGTTATTATATATGTAAGCAAGTATCTTTTCCATATTTTTGTGGCCATTCTGTGAACCGAGCTTAATTCTAATTGACTCTTCATGACCAAAGAAGAATGAACATCTGGATGTACAAGTATCCTTAGGATCAGCATGATCTGAAAAAAGGATACTCTACAAACTGGATGGGGGATTTGGTTAACAGCTCATAAGCCTTCATTTCGGTGAAGGAGGAAACAACATAGCTTCGGTTCTTTTCTGGAAAAAGCATGGAAAACAGGCTTGTGCTCAGTAATCAAGATAGTTCAAGGCATTCTGCTTCCTGAAGGTGAGGATAAACACCATTTCTCACCCACCCAAGTCCAACCACCTAATAGCCAAAGCCAGATACATTTTAGTACCTGAAGCAGAAGATGTCACAAGTATCTCTTCCCTTTTCCCACATAAAAAAATGTAATAGTAACTAATTTTATAATGAACAGTTTGCTGTGCTTTCAGGATACCCACATTCTGCTGCTTTAGGTGGCTGGTGCACTTTACCTGAGGGCAATGCCAGCCCTCCTCCATCACCAATCCCTCCATTTGTTCTTCAGTACCAATCCATTTCTATTGGTCATTTAAAAAAATACAAAAATTGCCCATATATTTCCATGACACCAAATGAAAAGATGGCAGCAGCACTGAACAGAACCCTGCACTAGCAAGTCTTTTTGTTGTGGCAGAACATGGCAATCATCTGCTCAACAAAGTTGTCATTACACTGAATGTTGTGCCCTTGCAGGTATAACCATCACATGCTGTTTGCCTTAATGGGTGGTACCAAGCATTGCTTTGTGCCTGTCCATGCCATTTCCTCTCTTCCTTCTGCAGAGCCCATGCACTTAGCCTGCTCATCTATCGGTGCTTATTCTGGATGCCCAAAACCATCAGTCAAGAGCTTGCTGCCTGTATTGTTGGAATACCTGCTAGCAAGTCCACATTTATGAACAAAAAGATTGCTGGAGCTTCTGGAACCCACTGGGTTGGTTTGAGGCTACAGCTGGGGCTCTAAGAGAGGATGAGGAAGCCTTGGAGGTCACTGAAATTTAGAATCTGGATCCACTAGATGTTCTTGTTTGGGCTGAGATTTTTCTCATTTTTAATATTTTTAGAACCACTTTTTTAGTAGTGCCTTTTATCTTAATTAACTCTTCTTCTATTTTCCAGACTGTAGCATTATTATTTCTTCTTCAGCAATCTTAAATAGCTTAGATCAGGCCTTTAAAAATGGGTAGTAATGCAAAATGTTTTAGAAGCATTGAACTTTTTGTAAAAACTAATCTACTTGGGAGTTGAAATTTGGAGGAGCAAGTTCTGCAATTTTGGAAGGAGCGGGTGGTTTCAGTTCAGAAATCCTCTCATGGCTAATCAATATTCAACCTGAATTCATGATTCTTTTGATTTAGTCACAGTTGATAAAAACATGAACCATGATGCAGGGTTTAAAACTACACATTCTTCCTCCTCTCAGATCTCAGGCACCCCAGAGTAATGTCCGTTGGGAGATACATTGTGCAGGGTCTACTGAAGAAAAGAAGTCTATATCCACATGCTTCATTTTGCCTAATGGTAGGGTTGTCCCTCAAGTTTTCAGATAACTGAAGCTTTCTCTAGCTGCGGCTTATCTGGTTCACATTATGGTTGTGCGTTGCTTTCCCCCTCTGTACAGTTCTAAAAGCATGCTGTGGGTAACATTAAGCCTTTAGAAAAGAACAGGCGGGTGACATCCCAATGGTAGCAAAAGCAGAAGCAGCTTCTCTGAGGTTGGCTGGAATTATGTGAAAACAATTCATTTAATGGGAGGGTTTGAAAAACAGTTTTCCTTACGTGCTGAGATTTCAAACGACTCAAATTTGATGGGCTGGATATAGTTAACCAGGCTGGACATTTCTTCATAAGCTGTCACTTCCAGACCTGCTGTACCCTAAGCAACATAAGGACAATTAGAGAATAAGGCATCATAGAAATGTGTTTATATCTGTATCACCTATATCTATGTATGAGCATACCTCTAAAGAACAATTAAAAAGTACTGGGTAGCCTTCAAAGGAGCAGTTAGTCAGGATTATATATACTGTAACTGTCTTTGAATATAGCCGATTTTGCCTTTCTGTAATGACTTTTGGTACAGGATGCAGCTGAAAACCTACACTGAGGCCATGTGCACATTCCTAGTTGAATGAGGATCACGTTACAGAGACGTGTGCACTGTGCACAATTCTAGCCCAGGCAAAGCTGCTGGAGGGCTATGTATTTCCATAGGCCTCCTTGGGTCAGATTAAGACATTATAGGAAGTGAGTTTTGTATCTGGCTGTGGAGTTACAGATTGAAAGTTTGATTCCTCACTGTGTCTCTTGGTGGCAATCAAATCTATAAGTTAAGCTGTACTATTTCTTCTAGTGACCAATCATAAAACAAAACAGACTACCTGGTGTTTCTGTTCCCTTTGAACTCTGGTCTCTAACCAGCAATGAATATACACATAAACTCAGAGTGTATAAGTAAAGCAGATTATGTGCTATGCCAAACAGATGTTTTCCCCATGTGGGGGAGCACCCATGCAAACAATAGCTGTATTACAATACTGAAGGGGACACATCAATCCTTGCCCCGTTATCTTACCAGAAAGGACTGCAGACTGCATACGTACTTAGGTTAAGAATATAAAACAAACTGTGCTGGATCAATCAAAAAGTTGTATATGGTAGTATTCTTTCCCATGGTGGCCAGTCAGATGAGAAGCCCATTGGTAAGACATGAGTGTTTCTGTAAGCATCCTTCAGTCTCAAGAGACTGTGGTTAACATGCTCTGAATAGAGGTCTTGGAACAACGTCTAGTGTGGCTGAGAAGGCCAATTCGAGAGTGACAGTCCCTTCCACACTGAAGACAAATACAATCTGTACCCCATCCAGCTCCCTGACTTTGCTACTTTCGGGACTGCCTCTTTGCCTCGGCCTGCTGGACAAGGGACTCTTCAAATTGGGAGAGGCTATGCTGCACCACCTGCCTCCAGGCTGAACACTCAGATGTCAGGGTTTCCCATCTGTTGAGGTCCATTCCCAAGGCTGTCAGATACCACTTGCAGATATCCTTGTATCACAGCTGTGGTCTCCCTCTGGGGCGCTTTCCCTGCACTAATTCTCCCTACAGGAGATCTATTGGAATCCGACCATCAGCCATTCTCATGACACATGAGTGCTATGGTATCCTTTTAGGTATTTTTCCCAGCAACTGGTATTTAAGGCACAAGACTTCTGAGACTGAAAGTGATATGCAACCATGACAACTAATAGCCAACCTTATGCTTCATGAATTTATCTAATTGTCTTTTTAAAAGCCATCTAAGTTGGCAGCTATCACTATATCTTGTGGAAGCACATTTTATGTAACCTTACACAGTGCAAAGAAGTATTTCCTTTTATTCATTCAAGATCTCCTGTTATTCAGATTTACTGGATGAAATCTGAATTCATGTCCTACCAATGGGCTTAGCATCTGTCTGGCCACCACAGGGACATTCCTGGATGAACTCTCTTCCCATCTTGCTGGCCACGTGGGAACAAGAGATGAAATCCTATAAGGGGGTGGGGGGAAGCCTCTCTCCATTCACTTTCTCCTCTCTGGGCATAATTTTTCTCTGCACCTCTACTCTGCTCTTCTCATATGGCTCAATCACACCTGACAAAAGAATCCCAGTTATACTGTTTGCACCATTATTTGGATTTTAAAATTTTTCCATTTACAATACGCACATTGATTTGTCCCGGCAATTGGTTTATTTCCTTCTCATTAGGAGAAGGTTAGTTTTAAGTTGTATTGATGATGTATCATCCCTTCCTTATCATTTCAGAGTGATGCTGATTTATTTCCTTTGCAAAGGAGTCAGGTTTTTGGGCACTGTGGCCACTTCATGGCCACTGTGTTTTCCCCCTTTTTTTTTTTTTTTTTTGGTAAATCACTAGTAGCAGCTGCCGCCTGCTATAATGGTTCAAATAGAAAGAAATGAATTGATACAGTTAAAAATAATGTGCACTCCTGCCACTATATATACATGTCAGCTGGGAAAAAAATGTATTGGTAGAACAGAGGGATGAAAAGGATCGGTATAACTGTGGTTCTTTTCTCACTTGTGATTGAGCTCTTAGTCAGCTTTCTTCCAAAACGAAAAGCCCCACATTTTATAATCTTTCTTTGCAGGGGACTTGTTCCATTCCCCTAGTTATTTGGCTGGTCCGTTTCTACCCCTCTTTCAGCTTGACAATATGCATTTTCAGCTGCCATGAAAGAACTATACACAACATCCCAAGGTTGGACAATGACTTTCTATAAAGATATTACAATACTGGCAGTTTTCTTTTCATTTCCTCATCTAGTAACACAGGAACCATAATCATACCTCATCAGACTGCAGCTTTTTAATCTCTTCTTCATCCAGGTTTCCCAAGTCTTCCTCCACTTCAGGCACCTCTTCAGTTGCTTCACATGCCATGGCTGCTCATCCAAAACACAAATCAATGTGTGGTTAGTTATAATACCTTCGTGTGAAGACAGGGGGCATGTCTCTAGGTGGTGTTTTTGTAACATAAGCAGTTGGGGTATGATGTTCAAGACTGAGGGGACATGCTCCTGAATTCTTTCCTCTTCCCTGATCACCCTCTGATTTATTTAATTTTTAAAATTTCTTACACATCTGAGATTAGTGCTAGGTCGCCACCCTTGCTAACAAGAGGATACCTGTGCTCTCCCTATCAATTGGTGTTGGCTGGTCAGACCCAGACACTTCCTCCTCTGGATTCTTCCCTTTCTTCTGAGTATCCTGATTCTCTCCAGGTATAAACTGATTCTTCTTGTTCTTAATCAAGATTTTCCCCATGAGATCCTGAGGGCTTGGCAGAGGCACTCCTGGTTTTAGCTATCACAAACAAAAAGAAAAATCAATGCTGAGACAAGATTTATGCTTTCATAGGACTTCTTGCACCAAGATACAGCAGAACTTGCCAAGGCAATGACATCCCAAACTACTATTTGACACTTCACACCATGCACCAATTTAGCGGAGCCTAGAAATGTTATCTTTTTAGACTACAGTTCCCAGAATCCTCAGACAGCAAGGCCACTTACTGGAAAGTTTTCCAGTGGTTCTGTCAGCAGCATGTCCCCAAATATGGTTCTGCAGTACTCGGCCATCTTAGCCTGCTGCTTCGGTCTGTTGGAAATACAGGAATCAGACAGACAAGTTGAGCCTGGATATTGGTTGTAAAGATTGACATCATCAGTGCTTTTGACCCGAAGTCCCTTTTTATCCTAGAGATCAAATCAAGTGAGCCCTAGATCAAATCAGACTGAACGATCTCTGGAGGCAAAAAATGTTGAAACTATGGTGGTTGTCCTAGTTTGGAAAAGACAATAACGTTGAAAAAGACTGAAGGCAGCAAGAAAAGAGAAAGCTCAAATACGAGATGGATTGACCCACTAAGGAAAGCAACGGGCTTAAGTTTCCAAGAGTTGAGCAGGGCTGTTGATGAGAGGACATTTTGGAGATTGTTCATTCATGGGGTCACCATAAGTTCAGGGCGACATGATGACATGTAGCAACAACAACCCTATCTGTTTCTTAGTTTATGCAAGATTGATCCCGGATTGGCTCAAGTTTGCTGTGAGTTTAGATTTTGTCCTGATTTCCATTGTATGCTAAGCAGATTAATTATAGACACTGTCGAGAGTTTAGATGCGATCCTGTCATCACTGTCAGGTTTCCATAAATCAATTATCATATTATTCTGCTTTGCACTAATTCATCTGGACTGAATAATTTCCTTGAGGCTGAACTCATCTCAGGTTCATCTATAGGTATGCATAGAAAAAGAGGGTATTCAATGAAACAGCATCTTTCAGGAGTAAAATAATAACCACAGGTGGGAGAATTTTTGGCTGTAAATCAGCATAGCAGTAAAGGGCAAAAGAGAAAGTTCCACTTCGCTACTTGGCTGCAATTTCTTGAAAAAAGGAAATGGTCTTCTCTCCTCCTGAATTCGAAAACAACTGTCACTCAGATATTGGCAGGAACACTGGCAATTCTCGAGTCCCAAGCTTTGAGTCTAAGTTTCTAGTCCCTATAGAATTTTTTTTCCAGAAAAAAAGAAGGGTGTGGGTGGGGAGGTCTGAGGCTTGTGAACCACAGAGAACAGCTTGCTGTTGAAGCCTGAGCCCATCCCCTGGCCTATCTCAGCTGATGATGAAAATGCAGGAAAAACCCAGAGTAGTCATATATATTCCTTCTCTCTGCCCTCCTCCCCTTGCCCAGACCCACCTGTGCTCAGAGTTGTGGCCAATAGGAAAAAAAAAGCTGAGGCTGCCTCACTTTCCCTCACCCCTCCACCCCCACCCTCTTGAAAACCCTCCCTCCCCATCACGACCTCCTCCTCTACTGCCATTTGCCACCTTTGCCTGCCTCTCTCCTGCAGGTGCCCACATTAAAAGAATAGGGACTCAAAAGTGCAACTTGGAAAAATGGATCTGAGTCGTGTGTTGAATCTGAGTCTTTGTGGGGGGGTAGCTAAGTTGAGTCTAAGTCAAGTTGCTGGTGCGACTTAAGTTGGACTTGACAGCGAGTTGCAAGTGTCCATCCCTGGATAGTGGCCAGTCTATATCTTACACAAAGGTTCCTTGCCTTAAAGCACCCTGAATGCTAACCCTTTGCTAATCGACTAAAAAAGCGCCAAGATTAAGCATACAGTACTTCTAAAAAAAACCCTAGCAATCATTCTTCAGAGGAAGCCTGAAATTCAGGCTTCAGTTTTCCTACCAAAAGTCACAAATGTTTGCCACAAGAAGCTATTTGAAAACAAAATACATTCCATGTCCCGCCTCCACTCTCCAAATTTTCTCAAGTGCCCCTGCAGCCTTCTCCCTGTCAGCAAATACTTAATGCTCACGAGTCCACGTGGTTCTCAAAGGACAGGATGACTGGATAAGGAGAAGTTTTGAAAGCACTTTCTGCGATTGCTTCAATTGCATCCTGAGGGGAAAGGGAGAGAGAGAGATTTTGAGACCGTGTGCCAAAAAATCCACAAAACCCTCATTCTCAGCAGATAATCCTGCGTTTCAAATATGCACTTCACATTTCTTTGGGAAATCCATGATGATGCAGGGAGTCTCAACAACATGGTGCATATGTAACGTACAGGGGTTTTTTTGAATTGTTTTAAACTTAATTTTTTAAATTTTAATACATGTCTAATTGTTTTTAAATACAATATTTATACAGTGCTTTTTAAATCTGTTGCTTTTTCTGTTGTGAGCCACTCTGGCCCTCCTATGAGGAGAATGGCAGCATATAAATAATGTAAATTAATAAATCAATAACTACATTCCCGTGTTACATTTGTTGTCAACAGCTCAAAGATGTTGGGGGGTGGGATGGTGTTCATATCCTTGCCCTCTGCAGTGTTAAAGTTGTGTTAAAGCTTTTGCAAGGGTTTTTGATCTTCCTATAGCATCTAGTTCTTGATATTATCTTCTACTGTCATGTTACACTAGGCCTTACATGCACATTCTGCATAGAGATTTCTGATCAACCACAGCTCTGGGAAATGCCATATGTGTTGGCAAAAAAGAAAAAAATCTTCCCATCTTCGGCCACATGCCCGTGTAAAATCCATACTTTGTTTCTTAATGCATACTTTTAAAATTATCTGGTGGTGAACCTCTACCCAGAGACATGCAGGATCTGTAAGCCACTAACACTCCTTAAAAGGAACTCTAGCACACCCTTTCATCAGAAACTATATTTCTGTAAGACTCCTTATACATCTTATTTTTTTTATTATTATTTTCCTCTTTTCTGACATGGGTAACTAGCAGCCTACAGTACTGCAGCTTTCTCTATAATTACCTGCCTTTTCCTTTTCTTTCTCTGTTCATTCAGTGGCATCATGCAATTGTATACCATGTCATTTATAATGCCATCTAACTTTGCTGTAGCAAGTTGAGCCCTGGTATGCAGCATCAGAGAAGCTTTGAAACTGGGAGGCTTCTGCATTTGATCTACATTTCAAAGGGGCCTGGTGTAGGTTCCATGCAGGAGAGGGTTACCGCCTCCACCCACAGCTCTTTTGGAGGAGACAGCCAAAGGAAGAAACAGAGAAGGGAGGCCCCAGGTGTTATGTAAGCTATAGTGAACCCTGACACATGCTGTGCTAATGCACTGTAATTTCTTTGCAAGTTCATTGTTGTGGTGCAGAACAACTGTTTCATGCCATTATGGCTCCAGGAAAGTACAATGGCCTCTATGCATGCCACAGATTGTGTGGTGCTGTGTAAAGGTATCTGTGATGTCATGTAATCTAGAAGGCAAAACTGCTAACAAAAAAATTGCAAGCATATTAGACTGGTTGCTAAAGAGGTAAGAGGGGATATGATTCCTGTCCATGCTCTGCTCCTGCAGCTATACTTAAGGCACTAATAGCTTGGCTTACTTTTGGACCACCAAAACACACACACACACATGCGCGTGCACACACACTCACACATTCTCTCTCTGTCTTGCTCTCACCTTTTATCTCACTTTTTTTCATTTCCTCCTATCCACCAGCTGTTTCTTGTCCTCCTTTCTCAGGTTGTTGGTTCTGTCACACAGATCCAAAACCTTTTGGAGCCTGACAACAGAGCTAAACTCATTAGAAAGTCCACCTCACTTCCTCCTTAAGGCTAGATTTCTCTGTTTACTTTAAACCTCACAACTTCTATTCCACTCAGCAGGGCTCCATGTAGACGTGAGCGGAATTCTACCATAATATTTCCTGTGAAGTCATTTTGGCAGTAGATGGAAAATTTGTTTCCTCAGCCCTTCTGATTCAACTGTGTCATCTTATATTTTTAAGTGGTTCCTACTGGTAGAGGCGACTCTACACATGGACATCACCAGATGGGCAATACCGAAATCAGATTGATTTTATTGTCTGCAGCCAAAGATGGAGAAGTTCTATACAGTCAGCAAAAACAAGACCGGGAGCTGATTGTGGCTCTGATCATCAGCTTCTCATAGCAAAACTCAAGCTTAAACTGAAGAAAGTAGGAACAACCACTGGGGTATAATCTACACCAAATCCTTTATGAATACACAGTGGAAGTGAAGAAGAGATTTAAGGAACTAGATTTGGTGGACAGAGTACCTGAAGAACTATGGATGGAGGCTCGTAATGTTGTACAGGAGGCAGCAACAAAAACCATCCCTAAGAAGAGTAAATGCAAGAAAGCAAAGTGGCTATCCAGTGAGGCCTTACAAATAGCAGAGAAGAGAAACCAAATGCAAGGGAAATGGGAAAAGTTACAGAAAATGGAATGCTGACTTCCAAAGAATAGCAAGGAGAGACAAGAGAGCCTTCTTAAATGAACAATGCAAAGATACAGAGGAAAATAATAGAAAGGGAAAAACCAGAGATATGTTCAAGAAAACTGGAGATATCAAAGGAACATTTTGTGCAAAGATGGACATGATAAAGGTCAAAAATGGTAGGGACCTAACAGAAGCAGAAGACATCAA